TAGTTCTAGGCAACATCTTGAGGACCCTATCACATTCCTCAGCCTTGCCCAAAGCGTATAGAACTAACAGAGTATTCCCGGGTTGAGCTATTGAACACCCAGGCAGGTGCCCCAAGGAAACGTTGTTGTTGCTTAGTCCCTAAGTTGTGTCTGACTCTTTACGACCCCAGGGACTGTAGCCCACCAGGCTCCTCTGTCCATGGGATTCTCCAGGCAAGAACACTGGAGTGGGCTGCCATTTCCTTCTCCAGGGGATCTTCCCGACCTGGGGGTTGAATCTGTGTCTCCTGCTTGGCAGGCGGATGCTTCACCACTGAGCCGCCCGCGGAGCCCAAGGAAGCACTGACCTACTACTTAATGACAGTCACAGAATGACAGCTGAGACCTCCTGGCCTCTTTCCATGAGCCGGGTGTGGGTATTCACATCAGCCTGATTCTGCCAAGAGCTCAGGGGCGTCTGTGATTTGTCTAAGAACGCACAGTGAGTGTAGGATTTGAACCTAGGACTGCCCAGCACTCATCAAGTTTCTCCTGCATCTTGGCTTCCCCTCCATCTTGCTTGATGGTTTCCAGGTGCTCCCCAAGCCCAGGAATCCATCCCGCAGCTCAGAGAAAAGTCTGTGAAGTGTGGCATACGTGTGCAGAGCTGACAAGAGCTTGCCTCAGCCTCTGGGAGGCTCCAGCTACAAACCAAGAACCACAGCTTCAGGAGCCAGGGACCAGCCTGGGGAAGAACCCACACAATCCTCACTCTCTTTAATGTAATTTCCTTATTCAGTCACGTAATGATACACTCCCCAGGGAGCATCTCACTAAGAAATGGTCCAAATCCCAGGGAAAATAACTCTGTGAGAATTACTATTATTTTTAATCCTCATCTTGACTCTCATTTTGGGGAAGCAAGATGTGAAATCGGAAACAGGGCTAGCCTTGAGACCACAGCATTTCTAACGCAGCAAGAAACAAGCGCGTCCCCTCCATTCACATTTTCATTTCCTCCACGCTCTGGCTTAACCCCTCTTTTGCATCGATGCATCTCCGCCTTCGTTGCACTTTCCCCCCTCATTTGGACTTCTGAATGCTCTGTCCTGACGGGTATAATTTGGTGCTTTAATATAGAGTAACATTATTTTTCATTTACTCCAATCTGCCATCAGTATCATCTTTTCATTTAACCAGATGCAATTCTTTTTTCTTTCGCTAAATTGAAAATCCATGAGCGACAGGGAGTGCGATGTTTTAATTAGCTCATATTTTTTATATGGATTTATGTCTTTAAAATACATTTGTGTAATTCTTCAGCTAAATTAAAAACGTCTTTCTGCAAAAGTGAGGAGGGGAAAATAAGGAGCTAAATTGTGTCATTAGCTTAGGTAGCTATAGATAGAGGGCCAGATCTAGCAGAGGGACACACACACCATCACCGGTGCCTCTGCCTGGGCGGATCTTGAACTTGCCCTTCATTGAAAGAAGTCTTTTTCTGTAAAGGTTTTTCAAAAATGGCTTGAGATGGGATTTTTTTTTAAGGCCCCTAGTAAGTAAACAAGCAGTTACCTTTAACGAACTAATTTGAAACTGAACCTGCCGCCAAGCAAAACCGAAGGAAAAAAAAAAACAGAAGTCATCACGATAAACAGTTTTCTCCTGCATTTCTCTCTTTGTCTTTTTTTTTTAACGATCAAGTTTAAAGCGTTCCACGGTGCTTTTTTTCTACTTTATAGGAGACAAGTGACATTCCGTGGTAAATGAGAGAAAAAGCCATGCAGAACTGAAATCTTTCTAATGCATTGACACCAACTTGCCCTCTATTGTTGGAAATGAGCAGGCGCTCATGATTGTTCATCAAACAGCTCCTAATGCAGTTAAAGCATTCAGCTATAATTTCTCCTTGCATTTATAATTACTGTCATAGACTGCACACCTCGGTGAGCAGATTAAAGCTATAAACTATTTAGCCGCAGCTCTAAGACGAGGAACTTGATTTGTCTGGCAGGAGTTATTTGTTAGGGAGCTTGACACTTCACATAAAAATGACTCAACTTGATGAAGAACAATGCAGTTTTAGCAATGCAGGGATTTTAAATCAGTCACGCCGCCACGCCCTGCAAGAATCGCAGGGCAGTTTGTTAAAAGATATGGAGGCCACAGAGATAACAGAATGCGTCAAGGGTACCGAAATAGAAGAGGGTTTGGCGTGCGGGGTTGTCTTTCCTGTCTCCTCCTCCGAAAGAGCAGGAGTTTGTGGGAAATCGCTGCATGTCGTGTTCTCCTGTTAAACCCAGGCTCATCTGGCAGGAGACAGGGAGGCCGCGAGCCCGGGGCGCGTGTCACACGCCGGGGTTTTGGCGGACTTGGTCCTGCTGTTATGAACACCAGGAGACCAGGGCGCTGCAGAAAGCGCTGGTGGATGTTCTATCTGGAGTGTTCTTTCTCTCTTTGTCTCTTGCTGGTAGGAAGCGTCTGATACATTGAGGCACAGAAGGCCCTTCTCTTGCGCTCATTCTCCAGCGGTACTGTGAAGACTTGTGAAAGGAATGGAGGGCGGATTGATCCGGGAGGCCGGCCCGGATGCGGTGGTCAGTGCGGCTCCCCCCGGCTCAGCTTGAGTCCGGGATCGGGTAGAATAGCGCGCATTCCAGGCGCCGCTCAGCACCGGGTCTGGCCCACCAAACAAGGGCGCGACTCGTGTTCCCCTCCGCTCTTGATCACCTACCTCAAAAAAAAAAAGAAAGAAAGAAAGAAAGAAATCCTCTTCTGTTTACCAAAGTGCTACTGCTAAGTCGCTTCAGTCGTGTCCGATTCTGTGCGACCCCATAGACGGCAGCCCACCAGGCTCCGCCATCCCTGGGATTCTCCAGGCAAGAGCACTGGAGTGGGGTGCCATCTCCTTCTCCAACGCATGAAAGTGAAAACAGAAAGTGAAGTCGCTCAGTCTTGCCGACCCTTAGCGACCCCATAGACGGCAGCCCACCAGCCTCCTCCGTCCATGGGATTCTCCAGGCAAGAGCACTGGAGTGGGGTGCCATTGCCTCTCCGTTGTTTACCTAAAGCTGAAGTCAAAATGGGGTGGATTGTGCCGTTTGACTTAAAGATATAAGCAGAGACCACTAGGACAGATGGAACTAGAGCAGCTTTGAGGGGGAGATGACAGTGCTGGCTGGTGTTCGGGGCCCTGGAGGGAAGGCAGTGTAGCGCTGACCTGAATTTCCGCCCCTCTGACTCTCCCTTCCTCTCCCTGCCACCAGCTCCCTGGAACATCCCCATTCCCAGCAGTCCAACCTCCCCAGTAGCTGCCTCACACGTAGGAAGGTCACCTTGGTCCATCATTTCAGGGCAAATGCCGTGTTGATGATGACGGTGTTGATTTGTGGGGTTAAGAGGAGAGCTAAAAACAGTGCCTGCCATCGTGTGTCCACTCACTATTGTCCTTGGTGTCATCAATAGGCAGCGACAGAGGATTAACATTTATGGAGCATTTACAGCCATGTACGTGACCTCAACTCATCTTAACCCTAAACTCTCTAAAGAAAGAACGGTGACTGCACCCAGCTTAAAGGGAGGAAACCCCCTCTCAGAGAGGGCGAGTGATCCCGTCTCATACAGCCAGGATGGGGCAGAGCTAGAGATTAGGTGTGGACAAAGGACCAGCTCCCTCAAGCTGGCATCTTGGACAAAAACTCTCCCATCACCTTTCAGGGATCCTCTGGGTTAAATTCTGCCGGGTGCTACACCGAAGTGTACACCGGTGCTACACCGATGTGAATCCCGTCCGTTAACTTACTTGTATGGGAGAGAAGATGAATGGACAAAAAGAAAAAAAAAGTTTACATATCTCAAAAGCTCAGATCTTTGACACAGACAACTCCCTACCACTTGGGCCCTCCAGAAAATTGGCACTTTCAACGTGCATGGTTTTATCTGGCACTTTTTCCATCTATGGAGGAAAAAAATGATGCTTCAGGTTATGTTATTTTCAATGCTACATTACTCGATTTCACAGTCAGATAATTCTATTTTTGTTCACCAGCGGATTTGGTCATGTCTAACTGTTTATGACTCCCCCCCACACGTTGCTGTAGCCCCGGCTTCCCCTTTTGCTGCTTTCCTGTGGCTCCTCTGGTGTGTGGTAACCATGGAGACGGGCCCCTCCTGGACGGTGTCTGCTCTGGCTTAGAAGTCAAAGACCAAAGGGGACCTCGTCATCCCAGAAATGCCGGAGGATGAAAAGGGAGGGGACTTTGGAAGCCGAGGGAGGGACCGTCAGAAAATCTCGAGTTTTGGAGGCTTCCTGATGTCTAGAAGTCCTGTGAAGGAGCCCAAGGTGGAGCTCAGCGGGGAGGAACGTGGGCCCTGAACTGCTGAGACCGAGCCTTGGGATCGGGTCTCCACTTTTCAGCTGAGAGACCAGCAGTGGGTCACGTCGCTACTCTGACCCTCGGCAGCCTCTTATGTCCAGCAGCTGCACGTAGGCTGGCCTGAGAGCACGTCACCAGGTTGTGTGGGGAAATGTCAGGCGCTAAGTCATGTCCAACCCTATGTCTTTGCGACCCATGGATTGTAGCCTGCCAGGCTCCTTGTCCATGGGATTTCCTAGGCAGGGATACTGAAGTGGGTTGCCATTCCCTTCTCCAGGGGATCTTCCCGACCCAGGATCAAACCCACATCTTCTGCATTGCAGGCAGATTCTTTATCTTCTGAGCCACCTGGGAAACCCCATAATAAAGTTAGCCTCTTTTAAAACCTACTAAGAATCCTCCTGGTACAGTATCAGGCACATAGAATTAAAGAGGGTAGCTTTATCCATGTTAAAACACAGCATCCCTAGAATTAAAGTCACATAAAGGTGTCTAACAACTGGAATCATAACAGCAACCACGAGAGTCAGAATGTGCTGGAACCGAGTCACAAGTCCTGTCTCCGGAGCAGGGAAAGACAAAGATGGAGACGGTCACTGGAGAGTAAAGTCCTGTCGCGTGCTGGGGGCCGTGGCTGGGGCCGGGATGGGGCAGCCTGGTGAGCCGGGCAGGGGCCAGAGCTGCGGTCACAGAGGAGACACAGAGGCCTCCCGGAGCTCGGCGCCGCCCTGGGAGCGCGCTGGACTGGCGGGACCCAGGGCTGGGGGAGTCTGCCTAAGAGCGGAGAGCAGGCTGAGCTGGGGCGACGAGGGGGCGCCTGCCAGGTCGAGGATACCGGGGGGAGTCCTGATGGGAGAAGGAGCAGAGAGAGGGAAGCCTTGCAGGAGAGAGAGTGCACTGGTCCCGAAAATGCACCTCCCTCCGCGCGATGGGGGCCGGCCCAGGAATGAGGTGGGGAGGCAAGCTGAGCAGCTGAGCAGGCAGAGAGTCCGGAGGACATTCAGACGCGGCCTCGGCCCGGATGCGGATACGTCAGCTTAGTCTAGTGAGCCGCAGGCAGCCAGGTGCTAGGGCAGTTTGCTTCCTTGAAGTGTTTCGGCGTTTGCGGAGTCTGTGTATGATGCATTCAGCTGCAGCGGCCCCGCCCTGCAGGGCCTCAGAGGTGGGCGTCAGCTCTGCGTCCGCTGTAAACCAGACCAGGTCAGAGTCCAGGGCTCCACCTTTATCAGTGAGTCAGAGTGTCAGTCGCTCAGTCCTGTCCGACTCTTTGCGACCCCCAGATTGTGACCTGCCAGGCTCCTCTGTCCGTGGAATTTTCCAGGCTAGAATGCTGGAGTGGGTAACCATTCCCTTCTCCAGGGGATCTTCTCAACCCAGAGATGGAACTTGGGTCTCCTGCATTGCAGGCGGATTCTTTACCATCATTACCAGGGAAGCCCTGACTTAGAAGACTCGGGTAGATAACGATCCTAATGGCTAACATGTATTGAGCACAAAACTAAAAGTCAACGATTTCTTAGAACAAGGGACCGCCAAGAAACCCAGCGCAGGCCTAGGACAGTCCACGTGCTTAAACGGGGGCGGAGGGCCAGGGGATGGAGACAGGAGGCTGGGGAGAGCCGACCCGTGACAGATAGAAGGCGGCACATCCCCGTGGGGAAGCAGGAAGAGGGGCTGGGGGTCTGGTTCCAAGGAAGGCCGGGCACTGAAAGCAGGCCTGGGGGTGGCACGTGCGCCAGGGGACCCCGAGGGGGCATGGAGTCAGGGGGGCTTTGCAGAAAATCCTCAGAACTGTGAGCTGTTTTTCCCCCCTCTTGAGCCCAGCAGAAAGCCGCTGGAGGGAGTTAAACCAGCAAGTGGCATGATCTACTTTCTCTTTAGAAAGATCGCTCTGGCTACGGCATGGAAGGGACGAGAGGGACCCAGAGAGACGGGAGACCAGCGATCTGACTGCAGTGGGGCCAGGGAGCAGGGACTCTGGAGAGGGGCTGGCAGGGCCGGGGGCGTCCGGGCCCTCAGGAGCATGCTTGTTTAGGAGGGAGAAAGGAATCGGGCGAAGAAGACCTGGAGGGCCTCAGGACAGACCCCACAGGCGTCCTACTGTGAGACCCCCAGTGGGCCAGGACCTGCGGCAGCCGCCCCTCCGTGTCTCCCCCAGACCGCCCTCAGCTCCCAAGCTTGCTATGGCCTCTTGTTTGCCGAGATGAATCCATTTTGATAAAAGTAAACCACTATCTTTATGCTTCTCTAGGAATTATGAAACACAAAAGGAAAGGTCCCTGCTGTGTTCACCTTCCTATTTTTCATCCTAATTTAATTCCTCTCCCCATTCTGTAATTCGGTACCCCCCCCTCCTTGGCACATCAACTCTAGGTGGTCCCGACTTCGACGGAAGATTTACTGGCGAGATGAAACGGAGGAACACATTGTTTTTCAAGATGATTTAACGACCTTTTTGGCATCCCCGTGACTGCTGAAATCTTCTGTAATTATTCAGTTTGGCGGCAGAGTTCTGTTGATCAGAGGAAGGCTGATGTAGATGTCAAATGTCAATAAATTTGCAATCCATAATTGTAACCACTTGATGCTGGAGCAGACTGGGAGATGATTTGGTCACAAAGGCCATGAATGGTCGAACCAAATTAAGCACCAAAGTATTTCAAGTGTTACACATGCAGAAGCATTGTGTCTTTTCTTGTACCAAGGCACTTTCCCTTCTCCTGACATTTTTCCTTCCCTACCTCTGTCTTTGTTACTGTCCCTGCCCTGGAAATGGGCCTTCTGCGTATTCTACTTCCCAGAGTCTTCTGGGTCCGTCTCAACCCAGAGTCGATGATAACTGTCAAGGCAGCCACGGGTTTTCCCCAGAGAATTGCCATGAGCTCTTGTCAGTCTTGCCATTCAGGATTCTCTGGCCCCTACTGGCTATTCAGCATTGATTTTGGTTTTTTCCTGCTTTACTTGCTTTCCGACAGCATAGTTTATATCAGAAAGGTCTGTGTCAGAAATTAGAGAATGTTCCTAACAATGGGGAAAAAATACCCTAATATAAATATACCATCTATAGGCTTGCACTTTGACAAGTCCAAGTGAACTGAAAGATGCTAGGAAAACCTCTGAAATCAGGAACCAAGGCATTTGCTGTAATAATGCATCTAATTCCTTGAGCTCACCTTATCAAGTTTTAACCTCTGAATCTCTAAGTTCCCAGTTCAAAACTGCAGAGTCTCCTCTGTCCTTGTGTTAATTTTTAAATTATATATCATGGTAGAGAGGCCCTTGTGGTGAATGTGATGAGCCATTTTCGCATCTGAAATGGGAAATTACAACTGAACATTAGCGATTGCTTATAAATCACTGCAAGCAAAGTGGCATCTATAACCACACAATATTAACTGGGAAGAAATGCAGGGCACAAAAAATGGGGACTTGGAAGAGGGAGGTGATTGTCCAGAGTAGAGGTTGTAAGCTGATGATCAGATTCTTCTGTGTACTGAGCCGTCTCTAGGATCTCAGTGGACCTGAGCTGGGGATTAGTTGGAATTTGGTTCTGTGGCTGCCTTTCTTTTTTTTTTTTGAGTGGAAAGTTCTGAAGGTTGAGAAATGTGTCCTAAGGTTCGCTAGCAGTCAGCAAAAAGGTGACAGGAGACGTGAATCAGAGGCAGCATTTCTGCCAGCCCCTGGAGTGTGAGCCAGGCACTCTGCTCAGGAAGACAGATGCTGACGGGCTCCGTCCAGCTTCGCTGGGGGGCGAGGAAGAGGTTTGTGGGCCAGGCCCAGGATGGGATCCAGCCCCACCACTTTCTAGCAGTAAGAGCAAATATCCTAATCTCTCTGAGTCTCTTCATCTATAAGATGGGTGTAACTCTCCTACCTTGGGGGTCAAGAAAATGGTGAAAAAGGTAATCTAAATGATGCTTTAAGCCAGTGGTTCTCAAACTGGAGTGTGTATCCGAATCATGGGCAGAGGGTGGGAGGATTGTTAAAAACCCCAGATGGTTGAGTCCCTTCCCCAGAGAGTCAGACTCAGTAGTTCTTAGGTTGAGCCAGATAATTTGAATTTCTGACAAGCTCCAGAAGAGGAGATGCTTGGATGACATCACCGATTCAATGAACATGAGTTTGAACAAATTTCAGGAGATGGTGAAGGACAGGGAAGCCTGGCATGCTGCAGTCCGTGTGGTCACAAGGAGTTTGACACTGTTTAGTGACTGAACAAGTTCCCAGCTGATACAGTGATGCTGGTCCCAGGGCCACACTTTGAGAACCCCTGCTTTATGCACAGTACCTGGCATGTTGTAAGTGCCCTAAGAAATGTTTGCTCTTGTTCATTTTAACTTGGTCTTTGAGCCTGCCTCATGCTCTGTCCTGGGTGAGGAAGCAGCATGATCCGTTAGGTAGATCCTAGCTTGGTGTGCACAAACCATGGCCACGCTGAGCGCTCTGTCATGTCCAGCTCTTTGTGACCCCATGGACTGTTGCCTACCAGGCTTCTCTGTCCCTGGGATTCTTCAGGCAAGAGTACTGGAGTGGGTTGCCATTTTCTATTCCAGGGGATCTTCCCGACCCAGGGATCAAACCCATGTCTCCTGCATTGCAACCCACGTGTCCTGCATTGCAGGTGGATTCTTTACCACTGAGGCACCCGGAAAGTCTGCTTGATGTACAAAATCAAGTCAAACCAAGATGGCAAGACTGTGGATCACCCATCTGAGGGGCTGAAGAGGGAACAGAGGCTAAAGGTCAGGGGCAACAGGAGGAGAGGACAAGAATCGTGGCCTGGAAGCTTGCGTGACTCCCCGGAGATCACTTAAAAGGGGTAGACAGTATCAACTCAGCTGTTTCTAATATATCAGGAAGCATTTCCTGTCTGAAGAGCCTTGGCTGGTAGTCAGGGGACTAGGTCTTCCCCTTGACTTAGCTTAACACCTTCCTTGACTTTGAAAAGATGGGCTGTATAATTACTTGAGAAGCAATAGTTAAAACTGTCCAGCATGTTACCTCCAAATTGTGTTTATCAAAATCTCTTGTTTATAATTGACTGCAAACCAGGTCAAACTTAATTAAGTGAAACAAGGGATTTACTGGCTCATTCAAGGACAGAGTTGGTTTTGTGCACCAAACCAACTGAATGAATGAAAACTAGTGAATCCTAGGGTCAGCAGAGAAATGTCATCAGAACTTGGTCATTCAGCTTCGAGTTCCTCTATATTGTCTTCACTCTCAGGCAAATGACAAGATTGTCTGGACCAGCTCTAGAGTTATTTATTTAAAAAAAAAAGTAAGGGGTCTCAGTGGAAAGAGTGCCTGTTTCCCAAGAGTGCCAATCAATGGTGGAGGTTGCATTGAACTGGCTTGGGGGCTCAGGTCCTCTTAAGAGACACCCATGACGGGGAGAAGGGGATGCTCCCTTCTGTCTGGGTCAGATGCAAGCTCCTAGAAGCATAGGTGGACTCCGCACACTTCAGTTTGGGCTGAGATTGGTCAGCCCCAAGGGCTTGTGATCAATGTCGGGGACATGGCGCGATGGCCCTGAATCCAGCTGGTCTTGTTCAAGCTTGACCCCAGCCAGCTTTTCACTGTCCCAACATCTGCTCATCTTTCCGATCGGAAGTGACCGCGAGTGGCCCCGCTGTTCTTGCAGTGTCTCAGCTCAGGACCTGCGACCCCGCCCCTTCCCCCTCCCCCCCACCCCCTGCATCTCGTCCCTGTTGGTCTCTGCAGGGCCTCTCCAGTGCTTTGCCCACCTCACCCCTTCCAGCTCGGCCTCCACAGCAGGTGGGTTAGCGGAAGGACAGCCAGTCTCTCGCTAGGACTGTGGCAGTGGACATCTGCCCGCCTTCTCAGCTCTGCTCACCACTTGATGCCAGCTTTCCCAGCACCCCTCTGTCAGATTGAAAGTCCTCATTCAAAGCTTATATCGTAATAAGAAGGCTGACCGTTTTGTGCGTGCTTCTCTCTTGGGATGTCAAACATCATCTTCCTGAACCTTATATTCAGCATTCTCGTCACTTAAATTCAACTTGAACGTCATCTTCTTTAAGGACTCTTTCCTGAACGTCTATCTGAATCAGGAGTCAGCAAACTTTTTCTACAGGGCCAGAGAGAAGATATTTTCAGTGTTGTAGCCACAGAGTCTCTGTCACAACAACGCAACCTGCTGTTGTAGCGTGAAAGTAGCAACAGGTTTTCAGGTTTTAGGTATGTGCGTCTGTGTGGCTACGTTCCAACACAACTTTATCAATGGACATTGAAATTTGAATTTAATATAAGTTTTATGGGTCATGAAATAACATTCTTCTTTGGACTTTTTACTACCGTGCGTAAAATAGACAGCTAGCAGGAAGCTGCTGTGTAACTCCGAGAGCTCAGCTCAGCCTCTGTGTGACCTCGAGGGGGCGTGGGGGTGGGAGGGAGCCTTAGAGGGAGGGGACGTGTGTGACCTAACCCTTAGAGGGAGGGGACGTGTGTGACCTCGAGGGCGGGTGGGGGTGGGACGGAGCCTTAGAGGGAGGGGACGTGTGTCCCTAGAACTGACTCACGTTGCTGCACAACAGGAACCAACACAACATTGTAAAGCAAGTACCCTTTAATTAAAAAATAATTTTAAAAAGCTACCGTGAGGTACTTCTTCACACTGGTCAGAATGGCCATCATCAAGAAGTCTACAAATAACAAATGCTGGAGAGGGTGTGGAGCCAGGGGAGTCCGCAACACTGTTGGTGGGAATGTACATCTGTACAGCCACCATGGAGCACAGTATGGAGGTTCTTTTAAAAATGAATAAACAAAGATTTTTAAAAGTAAAAAATGTAACAACCATTCTCAGTTTCGGGGACCCACAGAAACAGGCGGTAGCTTCGCCCCACAGGCCAGGGCTCTCCAAGTCCGAAGCCACCGGCCCTCTCCCACGCCGGCTCCCTTCACCGTGTTTGCTTCCTTTATGGCACCGACGGCTCTCTGATCTCCCGTGTCTGTCTGTGCCTTTCTCTGTGTCTGGCACTGTGCTGGACTCCAAGGATACAGCAGTGAATAGACGGCAGTTTCCTTCCCCTGGCACATATTATAGGAGGAGAAAGATAAAAACCAGAAAACAAATTAATAAACAAGATCGCGTCAGATCCAGAGGAAAATAAAGCGCTGAGCACCTGGGAAGCAGTGGTGCTAGTTTACTCCGGGCGCTGCTATGGGAAGGCCTCTTGGAGAGGTTAGAACTGAGACACGAAAGACTGGGGCAGCCAGCCCCGAAATGCAGAAGAGGTTTGAGACAGGGACAACAAGGGCAAAGGCCCTGAGGCCAGTGAGAGTCGGCATGCTGGCAGAAACTGGAAGAAGGATCGTGTTGCTGGAACTCCGTGATCTCAGGGTCAAGCAAGTGTGAGTGTTCAGCACAGACGCAATTGTGCAGGCTGTGGTGATGAGTTTAGATCATTGTGAGCTCCCTGTGGGTGGGCGGGCGGATATACAAGGGAATGGCGTGACCCAGCTGGCACTGCTAAAAATCACTCTGGCCGCTACCCACAGAGAATGGATCACAGATGGATATGTGTGGGAATGTGCATTTCCTTCCTTACCAGGAAGCTCCTTGAAGACCACAGACATACAGCCTGCACATATTAAACCCTCAGCAAAAGCTTTATGAAATTAATGCACTAATTAAACCATTAACAGAGTAAAACTTGATCCCTTGACAGCCAGGCTTTTTCTATCCAGGTTCTAGAAGCAGGTCAATTTATATCATAAAATTCAAAAATTACAGCTTATCACATAAAGTGACCTCCCATTATATAATGTGGCAAAACAAGCAAATTAATACCAGAGGTTATAAATATCCAGGCACTAATACAGCTTAAGCATAAAATATGTTCCCATCACTTTGGGAGTAAGAGTTGAAAACGAAGTTGGAATTACCCAGCACCATCTAAACGGAGCACTTGATTTCTAAATCAAACTGGAATAGGTACATCCCATTGGAATATTTTCCATTCTTCCTCCTCATTCAATCAGCACATTTTTTTCTTTTGTTATTCATTTTTATCGGGGTATAGTTGCTTTACAACGTTGCGTTCGTTTCTACTGTAACCAGAGTGAATCAGCTACACGTACACACGTATCTCCTCCTTGGGCTTTCCTTCCCACTTAGGTCCCTGCCGAGCGTCCGCTAGAGTCCCTGGTGCTCTGCAGTAGGTTCCACTAGTCACCTATCTCGTACACAGTAGTGAGTGTGGTCAGTCCCCATCTCCCAGTTCACCCCGGCCCTCCTTCCCCCCGGGGCGTCCACAGGCACTGCGATCCAGAAACAAGCAAAACAGAGAAGGTTTCTGCCCCTCATGGCACGTATGTGCCAGTGGGTGATACTGGGGCGAGCAGGAGTCCTTAAACAGAGGCAAGAATCTCCTAGTTGAAGTGTTCAGAATAGAGGGGCTGGGGGAGGCTACCTTAGGTGAACCGGCAGGGAAGACCTTTCTGAGGAAGTGGTGTTTCTACTGAGATCTAAGAAATGAGAAGCAGCCCGTCATCCATTAATCAGGGACTGAGAGTGACGGGCCAAAGGAAGAGCTCACACAAAGCTCCTGAGGTGAGAGAAAGCCTGGTATAATAATAATTATTATTAATTGTCATAACTCATTATAATGGATAATGTGTCCAAAGCACGGTCTAGTACAAGAGCGGGCACGCTGCGTCACAAGATCAGATGGTAAATATCGAAGGCTTCGTGGGCTGTGCAGTGTTCATTGCAGCGACTGAACACCACCCCAGAGCAAAAGCAGCACATACAAGAGCGGGTGTGGCTGCGTTCCAATAAAACTTTATTTATGAAAACAGGCAGCGGCCGGATTAGGCCCACAGGTTGAACTTTGCCAGCCCCTGGTCCAGTAGGATAAGGTTTTAGGTGGGGGGGTCCCAGGAGCAGACCCCAACCTCAGGATCCCCAGACAAGTGAATTTTTTAGGAACAGGCTCCCGGGAGAAACCAGTGAGGGAGTGGACAAGCGCGACAGAGAAGGAGGGAAGCCAGACGCGCAAAGCCCGAGGCTCAGCCTGAACCCACGGGGAGCGCTAGGGCGCTTATTCTGCCCCCGAGTTTAGGCCCCCTGGAGTAAGGGCTGGGCCTGGGACACCGGCCTTGGTCAGTCATTGGGGCCGGACCGTCCCCGGCCACATGGGCTCCGCGGGCGCTGGGGCTGCAAAGCACATGCCGGCAAAGCAGCTTCTGAAGCTCCAGGCTCTCCGCGAAGGGCGGCTGCGCGTGCGTCTGTTAGAAGGGAAATCCCGCGCAGAAGCCAGGCGTGGGGCACAGGCTGCGGTGTTCAGGGCATCTCGACATCGCCCTCTGCAGGCGGTTCTCACTGCGGCCAGGGCCTAAATCTGATTTGGGAGCAAGAGTGAGGCCCCTGAAAAGCCGCATCGCTATGCAGGCGAGTGAGGCAAATCCGCGCGCCTCGGAACCGCAGCGACTCCTCCCTACTCCAGGTGCAGTGCATGCCAGCAACTAATACAGACTAGCCAATGCGTATTTATTCCTTCTAAGTTCCAGCCTGAAGGATGCAACTAGAATATGCACCGCCTTAGACATCATGTGTGCCTGCGTGCACAGCCGCTTCAGTTGGGTCCCACTCTTCGCAACCCCGTGGGCTGTAGCCCACCAGGCTCCCGTGTCCATGGGATTCTCCAGGCAGGAGTACTGGAGTGGGTTTCCATTTCCTTCTCCAGGGGATCTTCCTGACCCAGGGACCGAACCTGCGTGTCCTGCATCAGCAGGCGGATTCTTTTATCATCCGAGCCACCTGGGAAGAATGAGTAGGCTGTAATGCAAGCACGGAGCACCTGCGTGCAGAGTTGTGATGAGTTAGGGCTGAAAGGAAAGCAAACGTGTCTGGCCACCTCCTGGCCTCCGGTTGAGTTTCTAACCGGATGCCCAGGGCAGGGACCTTCTCTTTCCTCTTCTTCCACTTCCTTCATTCCCAAGAGCTCTGCCGCTTCTGACAACAGGAAATGTGTAGCCTGGACTTGTTGAGGATGGAGTGTGTCTGTTAAGTGTTGCTTCTTGGATGTTGGACTGCCCCCTCCATCTTAGTCATGCATGCCCATCTTTTTCAATCTAATGAACTCCAACCATCAGTGCAACTTAAGTTCGGCTGTCTGTTCGTGCATAGTTAATATTAAAAATGTACTAACAGTGTGGCTGAGAAATCAAATTATGCACATAAATATGCTGGCATAGCAGAGGCGGCGGCAGAAGCTGAAGTTAGCAACACTGATGCCAGTTCACATTTGCAAATCTCCCGTCAATCTGTCATTAAACATGTTATCAAATGATGATAAGTGTATGCTTCTTGCTTGCATTGGTGAGCCGAGGCCCGATGTTGATGCACATTAATGGGATAATACGCATTAACATAGTTGTGCTTGGATGAACGCAAAACATTTTTTATCTGTCTCAGTTTGTTTCCCCCTGTGGCCCCCAAGTAAGTGTTTTGTGTTATCAAATTGCCAAAAAAATGGGAAAACATATTACTTTTAATTAGCAAACCTTGTGGTTGGTGGGGTGTTTTTTCCCCCCAACACCCGCACCCCCCCCCCGATAATTCCTGTGAGTTGGCAATAAAAGAGAGCCAGAGAGAGAGAGAGAGAGAGAGAGAGAGAGAGAGACAGAGAGAAAGACAGAGAGGGAGAGAGGAGCTGCACTGTCTTCTTTCAGTAAAACGATTAATGTCAGAAATTCAGAAGCTGGCAATTATGCTCTGTCTTAATGCACTGGCCTTTCATCCGGGGCCCTCGCTCTTGACAGGCCTGATCGTTTCAGTTCAGTGATATGAAAGGCAGCAGAGGAAATGATCGGAGGCGGCTCGGGTCCATCAGGACGGCCGGCGCTGACACGCGGCCTGGCTCTGTCTCCTGACGCTGCTCCACAGAGTCGCGGCGAGGCAGACGGATGGTGGCCCCGGGCGTTGCCCAGACTCGGGGTGTCACCGCGAGGCGCGGCGGAGATGAGCTACAACCACTCTTCCAAACTTGGGAACCCAGAAAGCGTGCAGGCCCCGAGATAGTGGGGAAAGTTCTATGAATGTTCTTTTTCCTCATTACTGGGCATCTTCTCAATCACAAGAACAAAGCAAGCCTAGACATTTATTTCGTGCAGCAGTGTTCAGTGAGAAGTCTGTTTTCCTGATGACCCAAGATACAGTTGGATTAATTCTGTATTGAAGTAAAAGTGAAATTTAGGAATCCTTGAGTGAACACTTCAACCTTCGTAGCCCCAGTGCGGGGCCTGTTTCATATTTGAGAAGCAGCGCTGGTACCCAGCCTCTTTTTCTGACAGTCTGAAGCACTCAGGTTCTGTTCTTTTGAAGATCTGTTAGCACTCCTTTGACGTGTGATTAATTCATTCATTCATCTTTGATGTATTGAATACCTACTATGTGCACAGAGTCTGCAGACTCGGAGCCGCATGGACAGGAACCCTGCCCTCACGAAGCCTATGGTGCTTGGACGAAACATGTCCTTAAAGAAATCATGGTTACTAGTGTTGAGCTGCTAAGTCATGTTCAACTCTTTGCAACCCCATGAACTGTAGCCCCCCAGGCTCCTCTGTCCCTGGGATTTCCCAGGCAAGACTACTGAGTGGGTTGCCATTTCCCACTCCAGGAGATCTTCGAAGACCAGGGATCGAACCCGCATCTCCTCCATTGGCAGTTGGATTCTTTACCACTGAGCCACCAGAGACTCAATCTCCCTTATGAAAAGTGTAAGCGGAGGAATACAGGGTGCGATTATTGTAGCATTTACTTCTCAAGCCTAGCGGAAACCGTTCTTTGCCATTAATAATGCCAAAAGGTTATTGTGTTTGGCCTTTCCTGGATTCTTGTTTACATGTGTTTTAAAATTAACATTGACTTCTTGCCATTTGGTTTGTTCCTAACTGGGCTGAGCGGCTTATTAATGACTAGAATTATAGTTGCTGTTATGAATGTGCTAATTAAAAGAAAATTCTGTCACGCGGCTTTGTGAGGCAAGCACGACACTTTACAGTTGTAGACGTCAGGGCTGGGAGTGCAGAGAAGAAAGTGTGGAAGAATCAGAGAGACAGAGTTTAGGATGAGGGAAAGAGCTCCCAAGATTCCGTCTGCCACCTCCATTGTAGATTACCTTTTAGGCCATTTTCCCTACTCAGGACAGGAAGAACACTCACTTGTGTTTTTTTGAATGTAGGTGTCTCTTCTTACCGTCTTTGTCTTAGGGGAGAAATAACCAGCTTTTCTCAGGCTTTCGCCCTGAGGTCATCTTGTTTTCCACAAGTTCATGCAGATATGTAACACTTCTGAATTGATGACTGGGTGCCAGACGCTAGGCTAGATGTTGAGGGTGTAATGTGACCACACACCGTCCCTCCCTTGAGGGGAGCATGACAGAGGGGACAAGGAGAAGACAAATACACGATCTCAGTGCTGGACATGATTGTCATGACGGAGTCGCAGGCTCTCATGAGAAGGACACTTGCCGGCAGTAGGAACAAACTGCTTCTTTCTGTCACTGTTGTTGTTATTGTTTAGTTGCTAAGTCATGTCTGACTCTTTGTGACCCCATGGACTGTAGTCCACCAGGCTGCTCTGTCCATGGGATTCTCCAGGCAAGAATACTGGAGAGGGTTGCCATTTCCTTTTCCAGGGGGTCTTCCCAACCAAGGGATCGAACCCACATCTTCTGCTTGCCAGATTCTTTATCACTGAGCCACAGGGAAGCCTCTTTATGGCATTAATAAGCATTTATTCAGCATTCTCAATATACTGAACTTTGTCAAAGAGACAAAACTAGGCACAATAATAATGAGCTTTCTTATATATTGAGAAATTATGTGGTACTTTCCCAGTTGTCCATTTTAACTGGTTTGAATTGTCTAAAATCTTTCTGATCTTTTCCACTCGACTCTGAGCTCCCTGCAATAGACACTGTGTTCACCAAACACAACTCAGGGTCTGGCCCACAGTGCGTGGGCGTTCCTGGTGTTTTGACGTACTTTCCAAGGATTCTAGTTTGGTGTTTTGACGTACTTTCCAAGGATTCTAGTTCAGGTGTTGGTTATAGCAATACAGGAGTAATACACACAGCGTGTGTGCCCTCAGAATTGTCGTGGATTCAGAAGAATGCAGCTGGTCACATGCCTCTCACAGAGTGAGCAGCTGTTACTGATCTGTCGAATATGCCCAGAAGATCAGATGTTCTTTGATTGTCTGAAAGGTTAGTAAACTTGCTTTGAGACTAAGATTGGCAAGAAACGGGAAATACCAGTCACTCTGCCAGCGTGGTGGTATTTTGGACTTTTTTTTCCCTTCTAAAATTATTTCTGTGTGCTAATGTCACTTTGACAACAAAGAAAATTCAAAGGAGATGAAAGTAGAAGTCATTTTTTTGAAAGTCAATATTTTTCTTATTTTACCTGAAGTACTTACACCTTTAAAATTTTTAATGACTTCCAGCTATTTTTTTTTCCTCCAAGAGTATTTCAAAATGGAAAATCTTTATATTCTATAACAGGCTCTTCAAATCTCCTCCTGTCCTTTGTTAGAGCAGTTTGCAGTCTTTTATCCTCAAGCTTCTTTCTGGCCACTGTAAAATTCTCCTCAACCACTACCAGGAAACTGCCTATTGGAAATTATCGGGGCTTAAATATGTCGAGAAAGGCTGACTTTAGGCAAATTCATAAATTTTTCGCAATGTCAAAGCAAGTCATTGGTCAATAGGTTTTGTGGTTGTTAGTTGCTAAGCCGTGTCTGACGCTTTTGTGACCCCATGGACTGAAGCCCACCAGGCTCCTCTGTTCATGGAGTATTCCAGGCAAGTGTGCTAACGTGAGTTGCAGTTTCCTTCTCCAGGGAATCTTCCCGACCTGAGGACTGCACCCACGTCTCCTGCATTGGCAGGCAGGTTCTTTACCACTGAGCCACAGGGAAGCCCCAGTAAGTTTTAGATTGTCATTAAGACTGCTGCTAACAGGAACCTGTTTTCCTCACATGCCTTTTTTCCCCAGTGTCTTGGAGAACGAAAAGTCTCGGTAACTCATCAACAGTGATCAACAGGATCTCTCCTCCATTTATTGGACAGATTTACTAGGTGTCTCTGCTGCCGGAAGTGGTAGCATGTTCCGGAATCGTGTCGAACAAGACAACATCCCTACTTTCAAGAAACTGACATTCTAGAGGAGGCAGACAGATCATAAACAAAAAATATGATATATCAGAGGCTGATAAGCAGTCAGAAAAGGAAAAGCAGACCAGTGGGTGCTATTTCAGACAGGCTGCTTAGGAAAGGGGACATCTGAGCTGAGGGCTGAATAAGTTGAAGGGGGAAGCCTGAGGATATCTTGGG